TGTCTTCTAGACTTTGGTAGATTTCTTTTAACAAAAAACTCTTGAGCAAATGTCCACAATACAATCTTCTTTTATAAAACAAAAAGCGTGGTCAAAAACTTTTTAAAACTCCTCAATTGAGCAAATAACTATTCAACAAAGAGTTTATAATTGCGTATAATAGAAATAATATCACAGGGAATCTGAATGAGAATTGCGTTTTCCGCATACTTATGTTAACCAGATAGAAAGGTTCCAGCCTGCACTATCAAAAAAATCCTTGAGCCACGGTACCTTCCCAAGAGTATGGTATTTACCATGGATGGATTGTGCGTGCTCGGGATCCTCTTTGCGGCAGGGCTCTTCTTTTTCAACTTTAAGTATCGAAATGCCAGGTAGAAACTCTCCATTGCACTATTTTCTTATTTATTCACTTCTGCTATGTTATCTCTCTTAATTCAATAGTTCAGAGAAAAACTTATTTACACAATTGAATTAATCCACTGATAGGCCCTCTTGGCTCTGCCAACCAGCTAAACTTAATGTGTCAAGAGAGCATCAGAATACAGAAGGAGACCAGGTGAAATGAAATCTGGCGCAGAAAGGAAGGCTTCTAATCCAGGCCCGTCACTTCCATCAGATGTATTCATATATAGGTCTTAAGAATAGAAGCCTTTTCCTGGTTGTGTGGGCTTAAAAGATTTCGGAAGGAAAATAAAAAGTATTTATTTAGCGGTTATTCACAGTGCAGATGTCGTGGGAAATAAATTTTTGCCTCCACCTAAAACTGTCATAACTCAAGTGGCCAGGACAGATCCTAGCTCAGCCAATGTCTCATTGTTTATGTCTTTTGATAACTAGAAAACCAAATTTTATAAAAAGAATAAGGTTTAGTTGAATTATCTCTGGTTGAAAGACTGAAATCGTACTAACTGCAATACCAACGGCAAGAGACTTAAATATTCACGGTTCTGCAATTTGCAAATCAAGATAAGAAGGAAGGTACAGAGATAGGGTGGAGAAAGCAACATCTTTGTTCTCCTCGTTTCGGTGATTATTGCACATTGCTAGGTTTATTGAGTGAGTAGGTCTGTTCAGGGACATTTGCAAGGGTTTAAAAACTGTTGAGAAAATTCTTACCACTACTTTGCTCTCATTCTCAGTTTAAAACTGGCTATTGGATTTTTCTGAAGTCGCCTGGGAGATCGGGAATTCTCTTAAATCAATCTTACTTTAATCATATATTTAGACACACATAAAACACCGTAACAATCGTTCATAATCATTTATTAAATGCTTATCTCTGCCTCCAGGTATATTCGAATGTCCAGCCCGAATATGAATAACATTATTATTCTGGGATGTGTTTTGATCTACATTTCTGGAATCCTTTTCGGCATTGACGCTGAAATTGTCTCAAAGAAGACCCACGAGAAAGTGTGTCAGGTATGACGTTGCAAATTGAACTAAAGGGAAGTGAGGAATGAGTAGAAGTACATTAACAGTCTAATGCACGGTAAAGGCGAATGCCTAAATCACAATCGTGTGATTGGTTGATGATGTGGTACGAGCTTTTTTGGACCAATCGGAAACCGGGATGAGTAAAGCAAAAACCAATGCAATCCCGGACTACTTTCGACAATCGTTTAGACATTTATAAATTTCGTGGATGAAGGAAGAATTCACAAGTGTAACGTTATTGAGACAGAAAG